TAGCCTAAACTCAGCCATGCTGGGATAGCATGTGCCAACACTCATATCAGGATTGTCCCTATCTCATTCATGCATTGGTTCTACATCAACTGTATCATCAACATTAACAGCTACGTCATTCATATCTGCCTATATCTCTGCTGACATAGCTGAAATGGGCACCTCTTCTCTAGATCCTTCTACTGTTGTCTCTGACTCCATGAACCCCATTGCCTCATAAACCTTGTCCTCATCAGCAACCTCTTTTGCTAAACCATCATCATCAGGCTGCCCTATTATTGTTAGAGTAGTTCAGTCAACTGCTATAGGCAAATTAGTAGGTGTTTCTGCTGGGGAACTGCAGGTATCACCACAACCTTCAGCATCATCATGCACAACACGTGAGCCACCAGTTGGCCCACTCGTGACACCAGAGACACACCCAGCTTTAGAAGCACCAGAGCTGACATTTACATTAGAATCATCCTTCCTCACAACATCCACTGCAATAACAGCCAACCTCTCATCCCATCTATCCTTAATCATCTGTTGGAAATGCTCATCCCTCCTAATCTTCCACTCAGACCCGGTATCTTGGTCAACAACCCACATTGCAAGTGTTTGAGTTGGCCCCCAGATTATCTTTGTGGCTAAATCCTTCTAGAATTGAGCCATAGAATACTGACAGTTCCTATCCAACCATAAGTCATGTTGTTGCTCTGCCATTTCAACTAGCCCATACTCACCATCAGCCACGAATTTAGCAACCTTAACGACTAGTCTAAACGCATTGCCAGAATCGATCCTGGCATCATGGTAAACAATGAAAGAAATGAGGAGTTAGACGGTACCCAACTCCTCCAATTCTGCCTACACTGCTAGGTTGATTAAGTACTTACCAAGGAGGGCAATCACTGCTGCTAGTCATTGTGACACGGGTTGACACCACCTCTCCCACTACATCACAAGCCTACGAAACAATCAACCGAGGAAGACAAAGTCAGCGTCCATAAACCCTAACCCTAAACCCTAATGGACACGGGACCTGGGTGCAAAGGGGAGTAAGGCCACATACCTTCAATGCGCTCACCAGATGCAGTCACCGTGGCACAGGGACGGCGGGAGGGGAGCAGGAGGTGGCGGCGGCGCGGGGGAAGAACGCGTCGGCGACGGCGGGTGGGATGGGGACGAAATGAGCGAGGGACGAAATGAGCGGGTGGGATGCGGCGTACTGAAGAAAATGGGCAGAGGCAACGATGACATTTTACCTGCGCCTGCTGACTGGGCGCCAGCGTGTCGGGCTGCCGTGGCTTGCCACATGCACAAATGTGGTAAATTAGAAACTCAAACTTCTCTCATCTGGTAAAGTTGTAAGTGACATTCTAAGAGTGATAATCAGATTAGCGCCAATCTTAATAATGGTAAAAATGTAAAAGCCCCGTGGGTGGGAGGGGGCGGAGAGGAATGGGAGAGGAGGCGTCGGTGAGGGGGTGGGGAGGAGGCCGTCGATTCCGTATCCAACGTTTCAAGATTCACATGTTTTGAGACTCCAAGATATGCAGTTGATGGTTAGCAAATCTGAATAAAAGACTGGGACGAATGGTTAAACAAGGAAAAAAAAGCTCATTATTTTACTACTATCACCCTGTTCGCTTGATTGTATCAGCCATGCTATCAGTCATGATACAGTGTTTTCCTTTCATAACAAAACAGCATCAGCCGGCTTATAAGCCACAGAAACGTGTATATGTGCATATATACAGCGTATTTGTCAAACATAATTATTAATTTGAGCTGTTCAGGAGTTTAAAGTAAATTATCGCATCATCTATGAGTACTGTAAAGTGTTGTTCCAGTGCACGCAGGACTCCAAGAGGCTATATCACTGAAGTTTTTCACTCTTTCATGCATGGTTCTACCAGACACTTAAGCCGGGATCACGAACATCTGTTGAGCAAATCACATTCTATAATCAACTTGCAGCAACATCCACGACAAATATAAAATCATCATTCTCATTGTCAATCGCGATCTTGTGCAAGGCCTTGTTTAGTTGTCGATTTTTTTTCAAAATGATACTGCAGCACTTTCATTGTTATTTGGCAATTAGCGTCCAATTATAGTCTAATTAGGTTTAAAAAATTCGTCTCGTGAATTTCGTCTAAACTGTGTAATTAGTTTTATTTTTTATTTATATTTAATGCTTCATACATGTGTCAAAGATTCGATGTGATGGAAAATCTTAAAAAAATTTGGAAACTAAACATGCACCGGTTCAAGTGAATTGCAAGTGTGCTGTGTTTAAATGCATGCACTGCTGCACTGACGTGTGTCTATGAGTTGTTAATGCCCACAACCACAAGGCAAGTAGCACTTCAGGAGTGCACAGAGTAGGCGTACACGGTACACCTTCATGCACACATCAGCAGTATGCCACTACAGCCCGAGCATAGCAACAGCAAGGCAGCAGCCAGCAGGCTAGGACGGACAGGGACACGATAGGGTTTTGCACTATTGGGTTGCAGACGTGGGCCTTCTAGTTATTGGGCCTTAGGGGAGCTGTTGCTTGGGATCATCTTGGATTTGAGAAATATGGATCAAATACAGGATATTTTCGGCCACATACAGGACTCTGAGAAAACGGGTGGGATGAAGCCTCCTGTTTCCGTCCCGGTCCAGTAACTTTTGATCCGGCTTCGGTCTGATTTTTAGATTTTTTCCGAAAATACGGGAACGGACGGGTCAAATGTAGAAAAAACGGACGGATCTGTCGTGATAATTTCAGTTCGTTTCCAACCCTACTTAGCAGGTATACCCACTCTCCATGCTTTGCTCATTATGGATGAATAGGTTTCAACCCTACCTAGCAGGCATACCCACTCTACTTGCTTTGCTCATTATGGATGAACTAGGCTAGCAACTAGCTAGTGGCTACTAGGCGGGGTCTTGCATTACTCGCTCACTCCGAAAATAAATACACTTCTAGTATTTAAACTTTGTCTCACAATAAATACACATATAGGTATGAGACCGTTTAGTTTTAGTAGCCTTTTTACTTTCTCTATTACTAAAGTGCAATTATTTACATGCTTAACACATTTTGATAGGGGTATAAATATAATTTCTCTAGTAACATTGGTCTTGTTAAACAGATATCAAGGCTTGCAGGTTTGATGACGAAGACGAGTATCATAGGGTTGTTTAGCCGGTACGTTTACTAAAGGATCCACCGAATAAAGGGTGAAAAACATACCCTTATTTATCACGGTGTCTAAAAGCATACCCTTAATATCACGGTCAGTGGCGGAACCAGAGGGGGCCGTGCCCCCCCCAACACAATGAAACATTTTTAATACCTTGTAAATATTTCAATTGCACAACATATCATTTCACCCATTTTTTTATAATATTATGATTTTTCGTTATGAATACTAAAAACATATAAAAAACTATTAAAATATACACTTATGCATATATCTTAAGATGTTGTGACCCTCTAGTAAAGTTAGAATAGCTTATAATTTAAGACGGAAGGAGTAGTATTTTTAAGCAAATGACCAAATAGAACTCTCAGTTCCCTTCCATAACATTAACAGTGTCAATATCTCTACTATCCCTCTTATTTTAGAACCAGTGTTGACGTGGAGGAGAAAAGAGAGTAGACCTTAGATCTCATGCAAGCAACAAGTTGGGCAGGAGAGCATATACAATAATTCGCCCAAGTAGCAAGTATACGTGAGAAGGAATAAAAAAATAATATGAGATATGGTCTCGCATAATACTAAAAAGCTTTTTGTAGAAATATGAGACAACTATTGTATAGGTTGCCTTTTATAACTTGACTTATAGCAAAACATTTGGGGCTCTATTATTGACTTTGTTCTTACATTTTATAGCCATGCAATTGGATCACTTAGATGTCATTTAATGAGATTGAAATTCTCATGAAACATGCAATTGCACTAAGAATGGCTTTAAATAAAGATTGCGATACTAAAATAGTTAAATAGTACTCCTTCCCTTTTTTACATCTCATGTTATCTTTGTCCTAAGTCAAATATTACTATCTTTGAACATTTATTTCAACGATTCTTAGTCAGTTTCAATTACAGTTTCATAGCATAGTATTAATGAAGAGAAATTTGATAAAAGTATAATGGATTGAAATGAGTTTCATGGCGATGAAAACAGTGAGATAAAACCCCACTGAGACACTGACCTTATAGTTTTCCCTCAACGCCCTATACAAGGCGTGTACATGTTTTTTGTTTTTACCAAAATACTAGGCGCGCTGGAGAGCATCTCCAAGTGTCTTTCTAAAATTTACTCTATAAATCATTAATTAGAGTTATTTGAGTAAAAACCGTTTGCTATATCGTTGTATCCTCCAACAAATTTTCTATATCATGGATACACTCTAGAGAGCCATCCACGCTCTCCACAACAGAATTTTGGTAAAATTTGGTCTCTAAATCGTTAATTAGTGTTATTTGAGTAAAAATCGTTTTATATATCTTTGTACCCTCCAACAGCTTTTCTATATCTTGTTTACACTCTAGAGAGCCATACTCACTCTCCATAGAAATAACTAATTCAATCAACAGGTTATGAGAAAACATACAGATAAAATGATCTAACCAACATCTACGTGATCACCAGAACAAGATCCTTTGGTGAAGCACTAAGACCCTCATCAAGCAAATGTCGAGTTTAAGATAGCCACCACCATGACTATCAGACTATGGCAAAACCACATAGACGACCATACTACCAATCAGAATCAAACCCTGAAATTCAACTAGTATTCAATCCATGCATCGATTAAGCTAATATAGCAAAGGATATCCATGTCTCATCACAAGTGCACTTTCAACCTGGATCATAAAACCAAACTGCAACCTTATCACCAGGCTTACTAATCATAAGGCAGGTGTTCTAAGGGTCACACCAAATTCAACAAACACAGCACAAATTCGACGAGATCCAACTCCATACAAGAACCACCAAGACACCCAGCCACCTCAGCGCAGCCTCCTGGCCTCCCTCTCAGACTCAAGCAGTGTGAGGATGTCGCCCTCGCGAACCGGGCCCTTGACGTTCCTCATGATGAGACGGTTCTGGTCATCCAAGAACTTCACTCTGACCTGGGTCACCTGACCCCTGGAGCCGGTCCTGCCCATCACCTTCACCACAACAGCAAGCTTCACCTGGGTGTCCATGCTGCACTTGTAGAAAGCATTTGTCAGTTATCAAGGTGAGTCAGATCCTCTGGTCACAAAGTTCATTCAAACTGCAGTTAGGTAAACATAAACTATCACATGGTTTCCTCAAATCGCAGCTTTGAAGTAGAAATTGGCAAACAAATTAACAACATTACACAAACAAAAAACAAACTAGGGACAGAACACGCTCCATTCGGTGTCCAGCAGATTGCCCTTTGCAGTATGAAGTGAAGTTAACAGATTCTTGCTATGGCACAATCCAAATTATTACCATCGCTTTGCATTCGATCAGTTCTACAAGAATGCTTGCTTGCTGTGGCAAGATTCCAAATTATCAATATCACCTTGCATTCAAGAGGCTTCGGACCATTGCAGAAACCAGGTTTTGTTTGCTAAAACAAAACATCCATGATTAATTCGACAACGAACACAGAAAAATCCATGATTACTGAGGGCACTGTGCTAAGAAATATGTGTCCTTCACAATGCTCGATGCTTAACTAGACAAACCTACAGATCAGCTTCATTCACGAAGCACATCTAAACCTAGGAGACCCTTCAAAGTTCTATCACAAAGTTTCTACAGATCACATCAATAAGAAATAACCCACATGACCACACCCACAACAGATTCCTGGTCACACAGCACAACATCCAAACATTTAAAATGAACAAAATCAGAGCTACTGCTACTCATCCATCACGTAGTAGCCATGGCACCAGCGCCTTAACGCCAGACGATTCATAACGCTCACACAACAATCAAGCCTCTCAAACAGGAAATTGGTACTATCAACATCTCAATAAATAAAGACGCCACGCAGCATGAAACCTGAAGCTACGGCATATCGCAGGGATGGATGGACTGGAGATAGAAGAGTCTCACCTCTCGCTTCTCGCGCAGAGTCGCGGACGGAGGCCGCCTAGCTCACGGGCACACGAAACAAACTGGGGCGGCGGCGGCGGCGCGAGGAGAACACTGGAGGAGGAAGGAAACCCTAGGCCTGCGCTGGCTTGTTATTGAGCTGAGGCCGCCGTGGACGGGAACGGGACGCGCTGGCTGGCATTGGGCTAAACCGTCTGGGTGGGCCTCATCGAAAGCCAACTCGTGTGCTGGATTCAGGATTGGCCGGGCCGAGTGTCAGGGCCTTTATGGCAGTTTCTCGGCACCAAACCCGGCACGTTACGGCCCACGGCGACTGCTCGTGTGCGTGCAAACGCAATGCAGTGCCTGTCGCATGTGTGTTTTGACCTATCGATAATTCGATATCCACCATTACTCGGATGAGATCAGCCATGTGCTGATTGGACAAACCAGGAGTGAAAAGTTACTTGACTGATCAAATGCGTCAAATGTTCACAGAAAACAGTGTCAAGAACAAGAAGGATCAGCAACCAGATGACAGGTACTCCCAGGGGCGGATCTAGGCGCCCCCCCTAGAGCTGGTGCTTTAATGAAAATATGGGAAGGGTGGGGGAGAAGAAGAGGTGGAGGAATGAAGAAATTAGTGAGAGAGAGAAAAAAGAAGAGACTCGCCCTACTTCAATCCTGTTTTGCATCCATTACTGGATACTCGGTAAGGTACTGGTACAGTACTACATTTTTTGAAGCTAGCAATACCCAATTACCCATACCCCCATCGTCTTAGCCTAGCTTAACACACGCCGTAACAACATCTCAACGAGATGATCTCGTACCCATAGCAGAACAGGAAACACAGTACAACTACAACAACAACTCCAACAGCAGCAGCAAATTGTCTGTCACGTCACGTACTAGAACAACAACACATCACATTCTTCTGGTAATTTTTTGGTGGCACAACTTGACAGAGGTCTAGAATGAGCAAGGCGACAGCTCAGGCACGAGCACGAGAAGGTAGCCGGCGAGCAGCACGGTCAGTGCAGCACCGGCGGTCGCCGACGCCGGGGAGGAGACGCCGCCTCCGTTGGTCGCCTGCAGCGCGCGGGAGTCGGTCGTCGCCGTCGAGTTGTCCTTGGCTGCAATTCCTGCAAAGACAACCAGAGGGTGGTCAGATACTCAGATCTCAATCGAGTGTAGTGTAGTAGTGTTTTCCAACAGTAAAAATTTGGTGGGGATAAATTGGACAGAATTGTCTTCTTAATTCGCGTGACAAAATCACTACATTTTCTACTGTGCAGGGGCACTATTATTTAGTGGTCACTTACCGAAGTGTTTCATAATATAAACATGCTCAAAATATGTGTAATCGTGGCAAAAGGATCTCTGTTTTTTAAAAAAAAATCTCGAAAATAAAACGTCAAATGAATGAAGTGCGACGCATGGAGGCAATAATAACGGAGGAGAGGCAGGCTGACCTGGAGCGGCAGTGGAGCCCTTGTCGCCGCCGGGGCTGAAGACGGCGGCGTCTTTGGAGCCCGGAGGAATATGCAGGAGCTCTGCAGCAAAAGATTCACACAGACACATTTTAGATACAGTATTATTTACCACCGCCGTGCAGTGCACCCATGATTTGGGGAGAAGAGAATGTAGTAAACTTGAGAGGAAAATGCCGGCCAAAGCTGCATTTCTGTTTTGCTACTGACATCATGTCATTTCCATAATGAAACCAAAATGCAGTTGGCGCAGTTCCATGGGCTGGCCGGCTAAAACCGCTTGCTAAAACTGACACCGTGCCATTTCCACAAAAGAAAGCAACGCCGGGCGCTGGCCTTGTGGCTTGGCTAGCACTGGAAGCAGCAGATGAAGCAAGCTGCGAGCGAGCAGACAGCACACAACAGACAGGGTGAAGAAGAAGAAGAAAGCAACGTACGAGCGCAGTGGGAGACGTTGGCGCGGGTGGCGCCGCAGGCGTTGGGTAGCGCGAGCGCGAGGGTGGCGTTGATCTTGATGCCCAGGTTTGGGTCGTCCTTGTCCTTGACGAGCACGCACAGGCACTTGGGGCTCTTCCCCAGCACCTGCCTTAGGCCGCCGCAGCAGTCCGGCGATGCTGGTCCGGGCCGGCTTTGATTCTTAACTCGAGCATTCATGCTCGCCTCGCCGTGGGGACTGTCGCAGGCAGCGGCAGCACTCGAGCAGCTCTGGTGGAAAGCCTGAAACTCCATGTGCCATCGCGGACTCACAGCAGGAAAGAGAGGGCTATTGCGGCCGTTACCACTTAAGTGGTAACCTTTGCCAACCTTTTCTTGTTCCTTGGTCATTGCATTCATATCAGGGCACCTCATATCACATCTTGGCTAGAGTAATACCGCCACTACATACACAGACCGTTCGTTTTAGATACGAAATTGCATCGGTGACGCACCGGAACCTACCCATTTATCCCACAGGACTCTTGGACGAATTGGCATGGCAAAAGAAAAACAAAACAAAGCAGTCCCATCTTTGAACTAACAATCCTTAGAGGAAGCAAGCAGTAAAAGGGAATGAGTGAGATTACCAGCAGCAACTGTATCAGAAGTTCAGAATTCAGATACGATCAGGCCGTGCACGGACAGGACCAACCTAGAGAGGCAAGCCATCTAATGCGGCTTTAACTTTTACGTACCAGGGATAGCAGCGGCAATGAATTGTAGGCAGCAATAGTGAACAGGCTGCTGTTACTGTAGGCAGGGAGTGGCGTCAAGATGCTGCCAGCGCAGCAGGTGACATCCATCAGACTGCCGCAACTTGCATTGCTTGTCTTCCCATCAGTTTTTTACAGTGGCATTGCCCAGCATGACATTATCCCACCAGCAAGTTCGATCCTGGGGGTTTACAAATGAACTGGGGAAATTTCATTTCTTCCAAGCCAGTTTCTACATGTCCTTGCCATGTAAGACAAGATAGATAGTATAGCAAGTTCAAGAATCGAAATATAATGATAGATTGAGATGGGTGTTTCAGAAACCAAGTAAACCATTGCAAAAGAGACATCAAATTTCGCAGATTTCACAGTTTTCATTCAATATAGCATCCCCAATGTGAAGCTCAATTTCTTTGCGACAGACTCACCAGGTATTTGTTCCATATCCTTCATGATAACCCAACATCACTTTTCAACTAAGCATCTTCAACAACAACAAAAAAACACCTAAAAGCTGATCCCCGCTCAAGAGACATACACAATGGAAGGGATCATTTCCAGTTTGTAAGAACTACTAGAGTAAATTCATGGCAGGAAACAAAAATGTGGACAACAAACCCACATTGAAGGTGAGGGGGCGAGAATGTGAGGCTGGAAAACTAAAAATGACATACAAATCTATTAAATTATTTCTCTTTGCATTGATATATCTTCTATAGGAAGTCACATTCCAACTAGTGCCACTAAAGAAACATCAGGGCGGAAATGTAAAAGGGTGAGGAACATCACAAGCCTCTTTCCCTTAGGCTTCTCGTTCCTGGCTTCCGCGAGGGTACATTCTCGTGTGATTGTCGAGAATCCTCCCCTACAGCTCCTCCTGGTGAACATGAATGAATTAGGATATGAGATATAGATAGTAAAATGGGCAACATCAGCACATCAAGAGTAGAGCTACAGATTTAAAAGTATACAAAAACACAGAGAACAAGAATATCATGCAGGGTCAAGACATATGCTAGCACAATTTTTAGCAGATCATGCATTCAGTGAGTTCCAAAATCAAGCATACCACTTAAGAATATAGGAGACAGACATTCCTATTATCTACAAAGACGATTAACACACAAAAAAAAGTAAAATCAAAGGCAGTACTGCATGAGTAATAGTATTATTCTGCCCATACCTAAAGTATTATCGTCTAACTCTAGGCTTGCACCGGAATTCTGCTAGGAGTGCTATATGATCCGACGACCATTCAGGAGAAGGAAGAGCTGTGTCTTTTCTCAAGCTATCCTCATCCAACAGTTCCAATAATGACTCCACAGTCAATGAATCCGCTGAAATAGTAGAGCATGTTAAAAGAAAACGTTAACAACATCTACTTATTCCAGGTCAACAGAGATAGCCAAAGTAATGAAGAGGGAGGGAGGGAGGGAGGGGGACTAACCTGTGTAAAATATGTAATCTATGGTACCAGTAAAATCCCTTGTGCAATTTGTGAACAATGGCTCATTTGTCGCGGGGTCCATCCTCCTTCGCTGGTGATCCAAATCATAGCCAACACCAGCCATACTCACGAATGACGAGTATGCACTGACCTATGAAGAAGCAAATCCTTTATTCAGAGACACAACAAGAATAAAAAGGGAAACCAATAGGTAAGATCCATGATAGACTAAGGGGGTGTTTGGTTCTTTAGTCGCTCCTAAAATTCATGTCACATCGAATGTTTAGATACTAATAAGGAGCATTAAATATAGATTAATTATAAAACCAATTACATGGCTGGAGGCTAATTTGCGAGACGAATTTTTTAAGCCTAATTAACCCGTAATTAGCACATGTTTACTGTAGCACCTCGTTGTCGAATCATGGACTAATTAGGCTTAAAAGATTCGTCTCGCAAATTAGTCGCAAGTTGTGCAATTAGTTTTATAATTAGTCTATATTTAATACTCCATGCATGTGTCCAAACATTCGATGTGACAGGAATTTTAGGAGGTCCTGCAGAAACCAAACCGGCCCTAAACATACCAGAGGAAGCTGGTGTGTCAGCTTGCTTAGTGGGCGCAAAATTCCAAGAGGATCTATTGCCAGATCTGGATGCAAATGATCAACTTTGCCCCTTGCAAGAAGCCAATGTGACGTACTACATGAACCACATGATTGTTTATCATTCACTAGAAATATTCAAACTGAAAGACAATAACTCTTAAGTCTCTAACAGAAACAAAAAGAAGGGCTGCTAATATCTAACAAACCTTCCAGGAGTTGAATTAAAATCTCCACAGACCAACATTGGAATGTCTGCACTGACAGCTATTTTTTCCAACCCTTTTAGGAGGGTATGAATCTGCAAGAGTTTGAAAGCCATGAGATTCATCAGCTAAAGAAATTATAAAATGTTATGAAATTATATAGGGGGAAGGGGGGTGATCTGAACCTGCCATAGCTTCACATCTTTAAGGTCATGGTGGATATTTATATGTGTATTAGCCTGCAAAAAATCAAGAACAAATGAGATCCACAAGGCATAAAATATTAAAATATGTTATTAATATCTCCAGTCTAAAACAGATGCCTCCTACAGACATAGACAAACTTTAGAAACTTTGACCACTATTATCCATAGAAGTATTTAGCTATCGCGTAAAAATGGATACGAATAGACCACCATCAAAGTTACTTCTTTATCAATTTCAATACACACTTAGACCAGAGATCGCATTTATGTCAGATACAATCATACAACAAGTAAATAGAAACATAGGTGGTACAAGAGACCTACACAATAAAACAAGATCAATTGATATGTTCAAAAGCCCAACGAAAAAGAATTAGAGGGATACTTGACATGATCTAGTCAAAAGAGCTCTGCTTTCCATACCCAAACTGAACACTATGTCTATAACTGAAAGTCTTGCATTTCCCTTTTTTCACTGTTCAGTGAGGACCTTGGTTTTCTTGTCACTTTTGCCAAGAAAAAATATGGTTGACCACCTTCCAGACTAAAAAGCTTAGACGAGCAAATGCTATTTATTCCCTTAACTGTTACCATTATCCTCATGTCTAGCAGAGCAGTTCAGTCTGGCTTGATCAATGTATGGATCTAGCTATACCATACCATTTATCTTCATTCTAAGAATCCCACACCTTAGCCTACCCCAACTTGCTTGGGACTAAAAGGCTTTGTTGTTGTTGTTGTAAGAATCCCACACCTAAAGGTAGTTTATTAAAAGGATGGCAAGCAAATTATGGTCAATGAACATTGACCTAACAGAAGTGGCACACTAAATTCCAAATGAACTAGTGATAAAAAAATAGAAGTGCCAAATTTATGTGGTACGAGCAGTGGCGAAGCCAGGACTTAGATGTAGGGGGGCCATTTACTCTTTAATTACATGGTAGATTAGCTAGGTCATTAAGGGGTAATAATGTAAAAACAGCAAAGTTAGGGGGGCAGGCACCCTCCAGCCCCTCCCTAGCTTCGCAACTGGGCACAAGAGAGCATGGTTCTCCTTGATGAGGAAAAGAAAGCATTCTCACTGGTAAAGATACCATCAACTACTAAAAAGGGCGTACCCAGTGCAGAGAGCTCCCGCTCTGTGCGGGATCTGGGGAAGGGTGTTAGTGGCAAGCCTTACCCTCGCCTGTGCAATGCGAGGAGACCGCGACTCGAACCCGGGACCTTCCGGTCACAGGCGGTAAGACTCTACCGCTTGCACCAAGCCCGCCCTTCAGATACCATCAACTACTCACAACACAAAAATAACAACAAAGCCTAAAGAACTCAGAACTAAAAGATTATCAAAATAACAAGTTGTATCTAATAATAATCAGCATTGCATGGGTTATTATGAAAAGAGATAACATGCAAATAGAGACCTGACACAACAAAAGCATCACAACTACGTTAAATAAAAAGAACGTTGACTGATTCGGTGTTCTATTTTATTTTTCTAACCATGAGAGAACATCTTGGTGCTCCAGTGCTCATTAACAGGACCTGAAAAGGTTGCATGACATGACATCCTTATTCTAGCTACATGGTTTTCAGCATAGCTATTCTCACCAGACCCATGGACATGATTTTGATTATCTTAAAAGCAGTAAAAAGATTATATTATTGATGCTAACATGCGATAGTAAGGAAGCATTTACCACACAAAGAAGTTGTCTTTTACTAGGATTTTCAGTCCCATGGTTACCAAATTTAGCTTCTAAAACTGCAATTAGCGCAATATTATCCTGCATGGCAGATAAAGATTAGCAGAATTGTAGTAATAGATGTAAGGTAATGACCGACCATGTAGCACGTATGGTATATTTGTAGTTTCCAGATTGGTTGTACCTTAACCAAACGAGTTAGAGCCAACTTTTTTTGAGCGGCAGGAATAATTGCATCAGTTAAAGACTGAGCAGCCTTATTAAACTCGACCTGCATAGAACAAAGTCCAGAAAGTATTAGATGCTGATAGTCTCAAGTCAATTCAAACACTACAGGAATAATAAAGGCACCCACCTCGTATTTTTTGACATGCGAAAATCTGTCCCGTCGGAAGAAAGTAGCACAACCATCAATTGCTTGAGGACTTCCAGTGTACACCTGTACAGCAATATTTCGAAATTAAGCACTACAGCATAACAAGGTTTTACAGAAAGCAGTAAAGAACAAGGCAAACCTCTGTTGTCCTTTTCTTATAAAGAGCTTGATACCCATGTTTATCAAGCTCCAGTGAAAAAAATTCTTCAAAGTGATTACTTTGTACCTGCAAATAGTAACGTATAGATCACCTTTAGAAACATAGAAATGGCATGGTTTTTCTTTTATGCTAATTCTTACCCAAAAAATCACTTTCCTCTCTTGGTTTTTCTTTTTATGCTAATTCTTACCCAAAAAAAAATATCTTTACTCTCTGAAACATGGATGATGGATCATATGACAAAGGGAACAATTTCAGGTGTCACTTGTGTTATATGCTTCATGAGTTTAAAGGAGGATGCAGCACAATCCAGTAACAAAAAATCAAACAATTTAAAGACAATCCAGAAGGCAGTCAGAAATGTTGTGATAGAACTTCTCATTCAACAGAAAGATGCTGGGAAACTATCCTACCATGGACCAATGAAGAAAGCACACTGACATTATTGCTATAGCTAAAATATAGTTACTCAGAATTAACAGAAGGAAGAGTAAAGGATGGTATCAGGAAGCATTGGAGCAACATCAAGATATCACAGATTGACAGGAAGAAAACAACATCAACAGTAATTTCTTAAACTCATCATGCTGATATAATAAGTGCAATTTATTAACAATTAAAGAAGTAGATCAGAGCCTTAAACTTCAAACATGAAAAACAATAGCATTCATACCTCCTGAAGGCAGATAATATCAGCATGGTAACCAATAATTTCACGCAACAAATTCTGCCTTCTATAAGCCCATGTAAGTGCCCAAGTTGGACAATAGCTGTATGTATCACTTGTTGCATAAGTATCAGCAAGAATATTGTAGGACAGCACAGTAAATGTCCCAAAAGAAGAAGTCCGGCTATCTAAATCAAAGTGGCCCATTGCATCAGCTGCATTCACAGGGATCAAGCGACGCGGAGTCGGGGTCGGTGCTGGGATCACACGGGATGTCATGACCGAAGTAGGAGCTCTCACAGTCCCCCGTGTTTCGACATCCACAACTATACATTCAAATCTTAGTACATGCCCGATATCATCAGCAGTTGCTGTATATGTTCGCGAGCATCCCACTTCAAACCAAGTTTCACCGGAACTCTTTTCAGTGCCTGTTGGATACACAGGTGTAGGTCCATTATTAACACCTGAGCTCTGCGAAAGATTTGATGTTGAACCAGACAACGCAGCACTAATAATCCCTGAGCTCGAACTGCCACTACCAAATCTGCCAAATAACTCATCATCTTCAGTTCCGTTTTCATTTAAAGCACTTATAGCACGCTCATGCAAAACCCTGTGGTGTTGCCAAGCATCAGAGAAGCACTTAGCAGAACAATGGTAGCTCTTAGCAACAGGTATTTTTGACTTCAGACACCCTATGCACTGAAGCGTTGCTTGTTCCGTTGGGTGTACACTGCAGATAGCGGCTCTACGATCACTTTGTATGCGGTACCTTCAAGAAAGAAAAATCAATATTCAGGATTTCATGGGTATTTTTGTCTAAAAAGCTCAAAACTGTGTTATAGGAGATTAGGGGGGCGGGGGAGAAAAGAAAGAATGGGCATCACAAACGAAAGATTATTTTAAGTTGTTTGTAGTATGGAGACTCAACACTGCAAAAGTGACATTCACATCCTATACCAGTTGTCTCGTAACATGTTCAACAGGTACATCCATTTCTAGACAATATTCAAGGCTTCAAGCATCCTATACACTGTAAGACATTTTGCTGGCGCTTAATGCACCATAAATAAGGAAAACATAGCAACTAAAAAGTGAGCCTTAAGCATCCACTTATTCATATATCTACCAGTCAGTATGCTACTCCAAATGACTATACTGTTCCCGTGGATTATGCTGGATCAGAAAATTTACTATGCCAGTCAAAAACTATGCAAAAAATTCCAACTCGTGATTTGGCAGATATCATATTTGTCTAGCAAGAGCCCAATTGAGTATCCAAACTAGCGATGTATCTTAGCTTGTAGCATCCTATGAGCAGATATCATATTCAGTATGACAAACAAAACAAAACGAACACTTCAACAAACCAGAATGTGATGTGCTAAAAATTGCTAATGACTCAGTTATTCTGGAAACAATCAAGTATTGAAATGGTGTACCGTTGGTAACGCCAACGCAAACGTAAATGATTTAAAGCTGCGGACATTACCGGTGGGAGATACGATTGAACTAATTTTCTTTACATTTGCGTTACTGTGGAACCAACCAAACAGCACATAAATGAAGCAGCTTGCGTCCAATAGCGACTCAAATGGATTAAACCGTTGTACTAACTGTGACGGAAGAGATAAAAGGTTCGAGGTTGGCTGCTCACCACTTGTAGCGCATGAAGTACCCATCCACGGGCGCGGCCTCAGACACGTCGTCAGTGAAGACGCCGCCGTCGGGGCGCCGCAGGAGCACGTACGGCGTGATCTCACAGCCGACGATCGGGATCTCCGACGGGAGGTGCACCCGCAGCACGGTCAGCATCCTTCCCCCAGGGGCGGGCTTCACCTGGGTCATGAGGGTTCAGATGAACCCCCAAAATTATCGAAACCCCAACACCGCCCACGCCTGATTAGGCACGGGGAACTGCTCAGATGTTCACAAGTACCGATCTTGCGCGCTGACGAAGACGAACCCTATCAAACCAAGGCAGGATGGATTGGATTGCGTTAGCAGGGTAATACAACGCAGCACAAAAATCGACGGCTAACTGGATCGAAATGGAGAAAACATCGATTTGTGTTTGATTCAGAACACTACCAAATCCTCCCTTAGAACGAAGGAACTCATCAGAGCAAGGGTTACTAACCAACGCGAGAAGGAACCAGTCGTCGTCTAGATGGTGATGGATCTCCGGCCTCGCTAGATCGATAGAGAAGCAGCAGGCTGAGGAGCCCGCGGGTGAGAAGGGGGGCGGTGGCGGCGGAGCTGTGCTCGGCGTCGAGGCTTTGGGGGCTTAAAGCCCTGCTGCGTCCATTTGAGGAAGGAGAGTGGGGAGTCTTGACTCCAGCTTCGCATTCGGGTGTTTCCTTTTTATTATACACGTATACGGTACAGCACTTAAAAGTTAAAATCACCTATATAAGGAGCTCGTATAAATACATAAAATGGTTTAGATGTATGGTTAACGATTTGTGTCGGGTATCGATATTAGGAATACCCGAAACAAGGGAGTTAGCGTCCACGCTGACTTCCTCGGACAGAGCAAGACGTATTAACATATCTCACATGACCTCGTACGAGCTCCGTCTCGCCCGACTTCAAGGACGCAGTTTTCGTCTCGTCTGACCCAAGGACGCAGTTTCCGTCTCGTCCGACCCCGAGGCTGCGGGGGTCTCGTCCAAGGCCGCGGGCTCCGTCTCGCCCAACCCCGAGGCTGTAGGCTTCGTCTCGTCCGATCCTTCGGTGCGTGCTCCGTCTCGTCCGACCCCAAGGGTCGCGGGCTCTGTCTCGCCCAACCCCGAGGCTGTGGGGGTCTCGCCCGACCCTTGGGTGTGTGCTCCGTCTCGCCCGACCTTCAACGGGTCACGGGTTTCGTCTCGCCCGACCCCGAGCTGCGGACTCCGTCTCGCCCGACCCTTGGTGCGTGCTCCGTCTCGTTCGACCCTCAAGGGTCGCGGACTCTATCTCACACGACCCCCAAGGGTCACGGGCTCCGTCTCGCCCGACGGGGACCCATATCGCCACCAACCACTTCAGGTCCAGGCGTATGCCCTGGGTCAAAACTCTGACACTAGGGAAAAGACGGGCACGACTCGATGTAACCCGAGGCCGTGACGGGCCATACCTGAGAATTTACATCAAGAACAGCGTTGGGCGTACCGGTGCTGTTCTACCTAACCCTCGTACGAACGCTGACAGACGCGTCAGTTCACCACGACGTAACCCGCGTATGGCGCCAGGACGGACAGGGCCACGACGTGGAGCCATCCCTGTTGACATCTACAGGATCGGCGGGACCCGCATAAAGGAGAAGGACCCGGCGATCCTGAAAACCTTCCTCTCCCTCGTTCTTCTCCTTTTCTTCAGCTGTAACCCGCGCTTTCCCTTGGCCTATAAAAGGGAAAGCAGGGCGCCCCATGAAGGGGATCGATCCAGATCGGCACGAGACCGAATCACGAGATAAAAACACAAGAGCACGACACGAGCACACGATTGAGCAGCGATCGAGCTCTCAGCACCCGTTCATTCCTTTCACCAGAGACGTGGGATCCTTTCCCTCTCTCGCATGTTTGTAACCCCTACTGCAAACTAAGTGCCGGTAACACAAGCAGCAGCAAACTGGACGTAGGGACGTTCCGTTTGAATCAGTATAAACCCTTGTGTCCTCCGAGCACACCATCCGAGCCAGACGCGCAAATACAATTTTACTCGTCGGTGGTCCAAAAACACCGACAGTTTATTCTTAAAGCATTTTTGTTTGGAGGCATATAACACGTGACGCGTCGTCGTCTTCCTCCTCAGCATGATGGTCCCTTTCGTCGTCGTCGTCTTCCTCGCCGACGCCGTCCTCACCCCTCGACCCCGCCATCCCCTAATCCCATGGTGGCGCACCGACGAGCTCTGCCGCCAGCCTCGCCAAACCACCGTCTCCCGCCACCATGGCGGGCGGTGCCCCCGCCGCCCTGTCCCGCCGCCGTGTTGCGACCACTGACCTCCAAAACTTCCTTCTAAGCCCGCCGGTGAAGATCCCCTAACACCGGAATCCTATCGCCGGTGACCTCCTCGCGGGAACCCTAGCCACCTTCTTCTTCCTCTCCGGCGAGGGTGCGAGTGCTGTCGAGCGCAGACGCATGGGCCAACCCGCTCGGCGCGTCCGCGATGGGTCACGTAAATGTGTTTCCATTTTTGTTTCCTATGTAACCAAGGAACAAATCCCTCCCCTTTATAACCGCTAATTATTTATTTATTCATGAGTTTATAGGTGTAATATTAATTTTTAGATGATAAGGATTTAAGAAAAAAATTAGCCACCGTAACAAAATGGTATACATAGCAACAAGTTGGTTAGGTTCCTTGTGGTGGAACCTGCCCACCCGGGTTTAAGTCATCGACTTGGCACGGGTGCTTGCATTTTTCAGGATTTAACGGCGCTATGCTTTCAGTGGTAGGCGACGTCCCTGTCGACAGCGAGGCACCGGTGGTGACTTAGTGAATCTCGAGATCTGCCGGCTCAGTCCTTCGGAGGCGCTCATAGAGGTAGGGTTTGCGTACGTGTGTTCATATGGGTGAGTGTGCGTGCTTGTTATGGGCATCTGCGTTGTACTATGTAATTTAAAAAAAAATCCGGTATACTCTAAGTGACCTAGAATCTCATACTCAATATAGCTCAAAATCATCTATCTACCTACATTCCGCTACAAACAAAAGTTTGGCATGGTTGCCCTTATTATCAAGTATACCTCGAAGTGTGATGGTCATAATCTATAAAACTTCATCATCCTTCTGCAAAGGAAGGTGAAAAATAGCGTAATCCAAACATCTCACATGTCTCTAAAATCCAACTATTGTCTGTCATCGACTGATATCTAGTTAGACAGAATAGCAATGTCACTTTCTCACCTGATAAACTTAAGACTATGGTTAAGGTTTTAGAGGACTTGGTGTAGCCCTATGTGTGTGAAAAAAAATGCCTTTGTTAAATCTGATCGAGACTTTGGCAAAAACAAACTATATGTATGAGAAAAGATCATTTTATTTGCAACCGTCAATACATATCACCATGACATTTTTTCTAACAAATATGATGTTGCGATAGAACCGTAACAAATATCACCAGAAAAGTTTTTTTACTTTTTATTTTATATGGGCATGTTACTTTTTATTTTATATGGGCATGTTATGCAATAAGCTTAAAAGATTGTTGAGATTTTAATTAACTTATAAAGATACTCATATGCAAGGTCTTGATGAGTATATTGTATTTATTTATGTAAGAGACTAATTAACGAGCATATATGTGAATACTCTGGAATGAGGTTTGGATTTGTATGTGCCTAGCTGGTTATTATTATTATACAATGGCCGGTGGTGCTCGGCAACTGGCCAACGATGCTTTGCGAGTTAAACATCAAAGCATGCATCCATTTGGAACTACTAGAAATAGTTGGACTAAGGAGTGTGTCTAGGGAATAAGCTTGGTTCTGGCAACATATTTACACAAATCATACTCTACATTCGACATATCCGTGTTATATATCAATGACATTTGTTTTTTTGTTTATAACAGTAATTACACATTCATGCTTTGGTTAAGCACAATATAAACTACATTTCACAAATAAATAACTAGTCATCCTCTCATTCAATCACTTCTCATGGCACAAACCAAGGTTATGACAGTATTAAGGACAAGGCCGATGTCGCGACTCCCACGAGGTCTTGCTCGCGACCGTATATGGACCAACTCGTCTTTATGTGTTGGCCCCGTGATGAAAGGCTATAGCTATTATCTACATTTCTACAATGCCCAAGCATGTATGGACTACTAACAAATCACCTATTTATTAGCAAATAAAACAGGCATCGAGCCCGACCATTGCAGCTCTCTCTGTTTCCATCTCTCTTAAAACCAAGCTGACGTCCAGAACCCCCAAAACTCGTCCAATCAGAGCCACTGTCCTCTGCCATATAGCTTACCACAAAGGGCTTGGTGCTCAGCGTCACCGGCCACCCTAGCACTCATCACCTTCTGCCCTAAAGCTCATTGACGAACAACGACAACCTGGACTAGGCGCTATCTCATGGTGCCCGAACACCGTACCACTCGTGCCAACGCAACAACTTCAGTGTCAAGCCCGCGTGTCGTCAGCCTATCGATGGTAGACAAGAACATCTCCATGTACGTTGAAGAACTTGCTCATATCTAAGAGTGCGCCACAGGCGCCATTTCAAAATGACAAATACATCTCACAAGAAGGGTACAGATTTCCTCACACGAGAATGAGACTACCGCCTTATACAGTGACGAAGCCAGAAAAAAATTTAGGAGGGGCTGAACAAAAGAATAGAGACTTTTTTATCTTCTCTTAACCTTAGCCCCTCCTACCTAATACATATATGCATAAAATTTTAAGGAATGACTTAGGGGGGCTCCACGTGCCCAGGATCGGTAGGGGGGGCTAGAGCCCCCCTAGCCCACCGCTGCCTCCGTCACTGGCCTTATACAAACTGTCCAGCAATGGGCAACTCTTGTCCCAACCTTTCCCACATTTAAACAGGTAGTTCAATGAACAGATGTATCGACATCTTACATACACTAGTGAAGAAACGACTTTTGATCCACTTCGAAATTTGGCTTTAGTCCCGGTATTTTTCACGCGCGGGGACGGTTGGTAGCTCCAACCGGGACTAAAGGTTCATGTCCAACGGCTACTACGGCATGCTTTTGCTGTAGGGGGCCTTTAGTCCCGGTTAGAGCTACCAACCGGGACTAAATGTTAACTTTTACTCCCGATTGGTCCCTCCAACCGGGAGTAAAAGTCTACTCCCGGCTGAAGGCTCCGTCCGGGACTAGA